AAGAGGCTATCGGTTACAATCATAACCAATATCTTTTGCTCCGCTGATAGCCACTTCCGGTTGGGTCGCGTGGCCGAGGTGAACCCGTCCTCTTTCCCGAGTAGGTACCCGAGGTAGTCCTTGTACCCCGTGTGTTGGGTATCGATCCACCCCTTTCGGTCGTAGTTTGACACACCCGTGGTGGTCAATTTCAAGAGTTTGGCCAAACGGCCCTCGGAAAGCATAATTTCCTTGCCACGGACCTTGGTGGTGATTTCTACCTTGTCACCTCGTTTGGTGGCCACAAGGTGTTGGTAGAATTCTTTCACCAAGTCGGGGTATGTATCCCCTTTGATGGCGAGGTAAGTGTCTAAGAGCCCTTGATGTTTAAGCATGTCAACCAATTCCGGAGAGAATTGGTCGGGTTCAAGTGCTTTACTTCCGATTACGGTGTAATCGGCATTGCTCCACTCCGGGGTGCGGATTCCGAGGGGTTTCTTTGGCATCGTGGTGCTCGTTTTCTGGCGATTCCTTTTCCGGCGAGACGGCGGTGGTTTTCCGGCGAGTTTTCCGGCAAGATTTCTCCGGTGGCTTTTCCGGCGAGACGGTGACGGGGCTCCGGCGTGTTTTCCGGCGAGCTCTTTGGTGGTGTGGTCTCTGTTTGCGAGGGAAGTGGCGGTGAGGCGGTTTCGATGTTGGAGCGGCGAGGGGGGCGGCGTCGTGGTGGTGTTAGGCAGCGGGGGCAGCGGGTGGTAGCTGGGTGGCGGCTGGGTGTCCTCCGGGCGAAGTGGCTGGGCGTTGGTGCGGCGGCGCGGTGCTGGCGGGAGGTGGTCGGACGGCGCCGGCTTTCGGCTGGCAACGGCGTCGGGTGGCTGGCGGCGTCTCTATGGTGGGGGTGGTGAGGTGCGTGAGGGATGGAGGGGAAGGAAGTGGGGAAGAAGAAGAAGAAGGGGAAGGAGAAGAAGGGTTTTTGATTTGGGGATTTTGTGGGTTTTAGGGATTCGTGGGGTTTTAACAAGGGAGTGTTTCCTTGAGGTTTCAAGAAACACTCATGGGCTAGTGGTTAGAGTCTTGTCCCTTAAGTGGGAGGTCAAAAGTTCAATTCTCATTGGTAACACTAGGCCCTATGATGATATGATGATGGGGTCCTTGTCTTTTTCCTTCTTTTGTCTTTTAGTGGTGGGGCTTGTATAGTTTTAGTTCTACCCCCCCCCCCCCTCCCCTCCCCGTAAATAAGACCAAATTTTGAACCGATCTTTTATTCATAATATCTTCGAAGTAATTAAGCTAAATAAGTAGTTCTACCACGAAGATGATTACAAGAAATTGCCAACCTAACCTAGACAGAATTCGTCTTCTTGGCTTTCTCCCACGGGGTTTGTGTGGTCCTCGTCTTCTGGGCTTGGGTTTCCTTCCTCGAGATTGCTCTTGTTCCCGAGGTCGGCTTGAGTGCGGCTCATGACGAATATTTTTCCGGGAGCGTCGTAGTTTCCTTGATGAGTGGTGCCCCCATGTTGTCCCATGGTGGTAGAGCGTGGTCTTTGGGGTTGGGTGCAAAGGAAGGCCTTGTGTCCTTCTTCTCCGCAGTTGAAGCATCGCAAGGGTTTGCCCATGCAATCCTTGCCTCTATGGTTCTTGTTTCATTTCGGGGTAACATGCACACATAACACATAGCAAGCACATGCAACCCATATTAACACATTGGGAAGGGGGAGGGGGGGGGAAACGTATAACGAAACCTGTGCGTGGTCATCCATAACTAGGAATACTCCTAAGGGGTTCATACTTCTTATACCTAGGTCAACGGGATACCAATTCAACTAGCATGCAATATATAAGACTTATACAACCTACGAACGGTACCCGAAATATCAAACTAGACATAGGCACGATAGACGGAGTCCGTTGGGACACCACGGGGGTCGGGGGAACATCAAACGGGGAAGCCGAAATCCCAAAGTGGGGTTCAAACCAGCGGGTAGCCGGTGGGTGAGGGAACACCCGCCGGCTGCCCGCCGGTGGTAGCGAATTTAGGCAGCGGGTGCCCGGCGGCAGCTGCCCGCCCGCCGGCTGCCCGCTGCCGGCGTTGCCCAAGAAGGCCGCGGGTAGGTGGCGGGTCCCCTACCCCCACCTACCCCCCACTGACTCTTTCATCACAGACAAACGCCCCGGGAACCATTGTGGAACCCGAAACCATGCTCAGAAACTTTACAACGCAATTAACGATCAACACGTAGACAATTAACGGATCAAATACGAGAAACGTACGGCACATAACCTATCATGCTTTTCTAAACATAATCGACACCCAAACATGCGATTTCCCTCCCGATACACCAAGAATGATATCATACGATACAACCTAGGGTTCTAATCACTTTTATACCCACAAGAATACGATTTGTCTTCCAATTACAAGATTCGGTACAAATAACACATAAGCATCAAGAATGCCATACGATTATCAAGAACGACATATAAACATCAAGAACTCCACATAATCATCAATAACATCATAATTATCAAGAATCTCCCAATATCAAGATCACCCATGGAATTATCCCATCAATCATCAATAATAATATCGCAAATCATCAATATACAATAATATGGGGAAATCCTACGGGGGAAATCATAGCTATGAAAATAGGTTTTGTTGAGACATGGGTTACCTCTTAGCCTTAATTAGTTCCTTGGCTATGAAGGGTCTTTGTTTAAGCTTTCTTGCTTTCTTGATTTCTTCTAAGGGGGTTCTTGGAGCTCTTTGGGGGAGGTGGGACGTTTATTGTGGTGGGGGGTTTCTAGGTGCCTCTTAAGTCCCCTATTTATATATTTAGAAGTCCTAGTTAGGAACTAATATTATGGGCTTGCTAATTCTATTTTTTTGGGACTAAGGCTTGGGTTTAGGGATAAGGGCCCGTGGACTATGGTGGACCTTTCCTAATTAATTATTGTGATTTAATTCTTTCTTTTGGGTAATTGATTAAATGATTTAATTGATCTTAGGGGTCGTAACACGGGGTGTTACACCATCCCCCCTCCTTCCTTGGAGGCTGCTACCACCACTCCCTCACCCGCCCTTTCTTCCCCAACCCGTACACCCCCTCCTCCCTCACCACCACCCAAAGCCGTATCCCCCAACTTCTCCTCCCTCCTGTCCACACTTTTCCCCTTCTCATCAAATGACAACAACCATGGATCCCCTACTTGTCTTAGTCCCCGGCTTCTTCCCCCCACCTTTAGGTCTGCCGTATATGGAAATTTATCCGCAGTGAGCCCCGATTTCCTCGCTAGCTTACAAAACTTATAGGCATGCCCCAGTAATCCACAATAAAAGCAAAAGTTATGTAAGCGTTCATACCGGAAATTTACCCAGCAGCTTGTCTTATCCCGCTTAATAAGCTCCATCCTCTGTTTTAACCGCTTATCCACCTGTATTGACACACGGACCCGGTGGAACGTCTTCCATGGCGCACCCGGATAGCGATCATCAACTTTCACACATGTACCAATAAAATTGGCCGCTTGCTAAAGAACCGCTTCCGATGTATATCCCAACGGCAAGTCATATAGTTGTACCCACATATCCACCGAGTTTAACTCAACCGCTGCCGGCCTTATACCCGGTTCCACTTGTTTACAGACCAGGGTGCTATTCCAATTTGACCACCTTTGTTGTCAAGAATCGGCCAACACACACCCACCTCCGTTACTCCTCCTCCGCCACCACACCAATGCCCTCCCCCACCGGCTCAAACCCAATCTCCTCCTCCTCCTCCAGCACTATATCGCCCCACCGCTGTGTTAACCGTTTGATCACATCGTCTGCCCTTTCGAGCACCAGTGGTTCGTCGGCGATCTCCTGCATCGTTGGATCCCATCTGTCTGCTCGTCTCCGACTTCCGCAAAGCTGCCACGATGAAAACTGTACACTGCTGTGCCGTTCGTCCGTGATCGGACTGAAGAAAGCCAAGAAAATTCCGAAAACCCTAGGAGAAACCCTAGCAAGAAGACAAAACCCTAGAGAGAGTTTCTAGAGAGAAAAGCGACTGGCAAAAGGTGTTAATTACATTATTTTGCTAAATTCAAGCATGCCTATAAAGCATTTTTAAGTTAAGATAATTAATATTGTTTTTTGAATACTACCGACTCTGTTATAATGTAGTATATGTTCATAGCTACTTTCTCAATCTGCTGAAGTACAAAGAGTCAGAGTCACTTCATGCCGCTAGACCACAAAGTCATTGGCAGATGCTTAATGTTTATTTTAGTGAAATCCCAACTAAAGGTTAAGGACTTAAGAGGCGTTTGGTTCAGGTTATATAAGTTAACCAATGTTATATTTGCTTGGTAATATAAGATTCTCATGTTTGGTTTAGGTTATGTAACTTTTCCAGGGAATGTCAGATAACTTGCGCATTAAGTTTTTAGCTATTGGAAGGGAATATGAGATACCCTCCAATTTCTTAGGTAATCTCACACTCCCTTGTCTTATTATTAGTGTTGGGCTTTGGACGTTTTAATCAATTTATCTTATTACTGTTGTCTTATTTACATATCTTAGTTTTAAACCAAACACAGAAATTTAACATTTCCAGTAATTTAATATTCCCAGCCATCTAACACTACCTAAGGTAATCTAACATTTCGTGAACCAAACGTCGCCCCCTAAATGGATTGAAATCAATAAGTTAGTTGCACCGCAAAGCAAGTTGTTACGAAAGTGGACAAGTGCTAATTTGGATTAAATGTAAATCGAGTTAAATGAAAAAAAATATAATATCAATAATTGCATTACACTGCAATTCTGCAAAGATGTCAACGGTAATCTGCTTATGTAGGGCAAACTGGCCTTGTCTTGATTAGGACCTTTTTGAAATTAATTTGAGAATAGGTATTCGTTACCGCGTTGAAACTGTAGATTATTAATTAGGGCTGCTGCTACCAGGCCAAGTCTTAAAGTGTGCTAACTTGTACTCTTGCTTATCCTATAAAAGGTATATGCTTCATTGTATCAAAAATCACCAAACAACACAACACAAAACTCAAACATATTTGTTTTGCACTACGTTGTAGTACTTAATTACTAGCTAGCTCAAAATGGCTTCTAGTAGCTACTTCTTCGGCACAATACTGTTGTTCTCTTTTGCCACAATGTCATTTTCCGACTCTCTTTCCCCATTCTACTATCAAAGAGTGTGTCCTCAAGCTTTGCCAACCATTCAGCGCATCGTCTTCGACGCCATTAGACAAGAGCACCGCATGGGTGCCTCTTTATTACGTCTGCATTTTCATGATAGTTTCGTTAACGTAATACTCTTCACCCTTTTTCTTTTATGAATTATTATATACACTACTTTTGAGTGGAATCTTATTATTTGGCATGATTTGAAATAATACAGGGTTGTGATGCATCACTTCTACTGGATTCTACTTCCACCGTTGACAGTGAAAAGAACTCTCTAGCCAATGCCAATTCTGCGCGAGGTTTTGAAGTTATTGATCGAATCAAGTCTGCTGTTGATAAAGTCTATAATGGTCTCGTAGTCTCTTGTGCTGACATTTTGGCTGTTGTTGCTCGTGACTCTGTATTCGCGGTAAGTACTTAGGCACTTTACATTCATGACTCTGAAAAAAAAATAAAACCAACACTACAATTAAACTACTTAATTATATATGTGAGTATTTTCAATTTATACTTTGGCTTTATATATGTTTTTCACAGTTAGGAGGTCCATCATGGACAGTGCAACTTGGGAGAAGGGACTCCACAACCGCAAGCAAAACTGACGCCACTACTGGAAATTATGGAATTTCCGACCACCGGAAAGTGATCTTAAATCAAGTTAAAAGCAAAAAGTGGTCGGAAATAGCAACAAAGGTTTTTCCGGATACCAAAAGTGGTCGGAACAAGGCTTTCGACTTGGTTTAAGATCATTTTCAGGTGGTCGGAAATTCCATAATTTTCAGTAGTGGCGCCGACAACAACCTTCCATCACCATTCATGGATTTGACTGCTCTAATTGACAATTTCTCAAAGCAAGGCCTTGATGTTAAAGATCTGGTTGTACTTTCCGGCGGCCACACATTGGGGCTTGCCCAGTGCCGGACCTTCAGAGATCGCATCTATAATGACACCAACATCGATCAAGGTTTTGCAACACAACGCCAAGCTTCATGTCCACGCGTTGGAGGCAACTCTACCCTTGCTCCACTCGACCCGTCTCCTGCCTTCTTTGACACTAGATATTTCAGTAACTTGGTGATGAAGAAAGGACTTTTGCACTCCGATCAAGTATTGTTCAATGGTGGTCAGACTGATAATCTTGTCAACACTTACTGCGGAAACATTCGTGTTTTTGCTAATGATTTTGCTTAGTCTATGACTAAGTTGTAGGAACCGTTGGTAGGAAAACAAATAATAATCAAATAAAATTGACTATTATTTTCTGGAAAGAAGGGAAGAAAAGATGAAGAAATTTGGCTAGTGTTTGGTGTTGGGTTTTTGCAAGAGTCAAGTGAGCAGCACTCTTTCCTTAAAACCTTATTTGCCACCTCCCAAAGATGCTAGGAGCGTTGTGGCCTAGGCTTCCCAGGATAAAACTTGCTAGTGATTCAATGTTTGAGCACTCAAACAAGGAATCCGGCGAGCAATACACGGTTATGAACACAGTAGGCTAAAGAAGGAGTAGAAGCAGAGAGGTTTTGAGGCTAAAAATTGAACTTTCGTGTTCTATATTTCTGTGTGTAAAACTCTACTGCCTCTACCCTCTTTATATAGGGTTGAAGGAGCCAATAGCCTTTATTATGGCAATTAAAAATGACATTAAAGCTGCCTTCCAACAGCTATAACAGCAGGCCACTACCTGGGAATTGAATTCAGAATTCAAAATTGGAGTTAATAGGATATTAATTCCGTAACAGATGAATTCAATCCCCATAACAGTCAGAACTTTCGGGTTCCAGACCGTTGGCGTACAGGGTTCGGTCTCAACTTTCGACCTTACCCAGTTTCGGCCCTTGCACCTTTCGTGGTCTCTGTTGCACGAGAGTGGTGCTCTCGGTTTCGACCGAGGCAAGTGACTATATGTAACACCCCCCAAAAAAGGCCTATATAAAAAGCCCTAACACATGCAGATTAAACAACAAAACTAGCACAGCGGAAGATAAACGGAAACTGGATAAAAAGAAATCCAACGGGGTGTTATGCCACGTCTACCGAACCCGGTAAACGCTAAGGCGAACAATCTGCAAGTGTATACAACTATCCCAAAACATCAGTCTATCTAACTACATTGGCGCACAGGCCACAAAAACCACAAAGGTAAAGGAGCTAAGCTACCAGGCTCTAGACATCGTGCTCGTCTAAACATCACCTGAAAGATACAAAGATAAACATCGAGACGACGCCCGGTCAGCGAATAATGTTGGTAACCCACCAATACCATTAAGTATCATATATAGATAGATATAAGTCATAAAACCATTTTCGAAACGGAATACATAAGTATATAAGTCAAAAGCCAAGATCAGTAGACAACACGAGACTCATCACTCTCAAAGATAACACCGGGAACACATCCCAAACCACAAAGGTTAACCACAACACAAAGGATAAAGACTCACCCAACGGCAACACATGCCAAACAACACAAGCCTCCGTGACTACACACGTCACGAGAGAAGATCACACAACGCCGGCTTTACAAGCCCTCGCAACATCACCCATCACGAGTTGGTATGCCTGCCTTATGCCCTGTTCCAACCTTATGGCTACCCCCAACCTTGTATCTTCTTTCCAGCCATTACCTCCAGGAACCCCTGTACTTCTTAGTCCAACCTTTTCCCTCCTGGGACCGTCGTCCCCCACCAACAGACCACCAACAAAACCACAAATTTCACACACATGGCGACACACGCCTTACCTAAGAAATACGTGAACCTGACACACAGGTCACACTCCATAATCACGTCACGGCCACCACGAGGACCGCTGCAATACCTTGGTGACTAGTGTCCCATACCACTAATCGTGCAATCCAGGTAAAGCCACACACACCACACCTCAACAGGAGTCAATCAAAGGATTGCAATGAAGGTATGAAACATACTCAATCAAGGAACGGGTCACAGCCCAACAACAACAACGATGAATAACACAAGTTATCATCAACCAAACGGAAGGTACAAACCACACACACGCTAGTATTAAGACAACAAACTAGCATGTTTATCAACGGGGAAACTCAAGATAGTTCCGAGGAACACACAAGACACCTCTTTGTCCAACGAAACACAATGTTGAACACTTAGCACGATTCAAGACACCAAAGTCCTACATGGATACCTACCATATAGTTCTAGACGTACGAAACATCAAGAAGACACTAAAATAGTTCCACAAAAGAACATTGGGAAGCCAAAAGATCAAATACCAAGACAAACAAATCACGGGGAACAAATCCCGAACGAACACCATCGTGTTCCCCGCGGGTGGACCCACGGGTAGGCCCCTACCCGTGGTTCTGCCCGCGGGTACACTACCCACAAGCCAATGTACCTGCGGGTGGGCAGCGGGTAGGGCTCTCCCCGTCGTTCCGCCCGCGGGTACATACTCCTGGGCAAAATAATCCCTTCGGGGATTTCCTTCTCCAAACACAAATTCAAGTTCAAAACATGCCAAATCTCACCCAACACAACAAAATGACTTGAACCATGGAAAATGCCAAGCAATGGCACAAAGGAACCCTAAACACAAGCTCTAGATATGCAATATCACAAGATAGATGCATAAACCCTCACATTTCATAGCAAAGCACAAGTAGAATCCAAGAAATCACATATAGGTAAGCAAAATAGGTTTTGTAGATCATGGGTTACCTCTTGAAGACTTCACTTTACACCACAACAAGCTCTCCACTAGGCTCACTTTCCAAACCCACTTCAAGATTAAACCAAAAGATCATAAAGATCCTACCTTTAAGAAAAAGACAACTAAGATGGAACCAAAAACACAAGACAAGCTTAGATCTTACCCTCCTAGATGCCCAAATAGGTGAAAGGTTGAATCTTGGAAGCAAAACTTGGAATCTTGACAAGGGTCTCAACTTGGCTTGAAGAATAAGCTACACTTCTTTTCTAGAGAGAAGGTAGAGATATTTTTCTAGGAATTGTAAGGAATGAAATGAAGAAGTCTTCTAGGTTAGGTTACAATACTAACTCTTGGTGAAAAGACAAGGATACCCTTACTAACCCTTAGAAAGTGTAAGGAACAAGGGAACTCCCCTCAAAGCACAAGGTACAACACAACTTAAAGGTTGACTAGTCAAATTCTAGTCCTTGAGTATTAAAAATCAGGATTTTAGGAATCAATTCCTCAAAAAGATATAGAATTAATTACTCAATTAATTCATGGATTGAAATGTGGATTTTTGGGGTGTCACATCCTCTCCCCCTTCAAAGAAGCTTCGTCCTCGACGCTTGGGTACGACGAATTAAAAGCGAATGGTAACAAGGAAACAAAATTGTGACAAGAAATTCAAGAATAGTCCTTTTGGTCAAAAAACTCCAAAAGTACTCACAAGGGTTCCAAGGCAAAGAAGAAGGCACTTCGAATTCAAGGATTGGTCAAGAGTTAAGCAAACGGATAGATTGAGCATCAAGAACTCTACCCTCAACACAACCACCAACTTCTAGACAACAACCAAGAACTAAACAACTAACTCCGAACACCAACTAACACACTAGCTAAACAACAAGGCCACAAGCAACAACAAGCAAGCACGCAAGGCAAACAACAACCTAAGAAAACGAGGTACCTTCTGCAAACAACTCAGGGTACCGCTCCCGCATCGATGCCTCGAACTCCCAAGTAGCTTCCTCAACCCCATGATGTGACCACCAAACCTTCACCATCTTAACAGATTTCCTACGAGTGTCCCGAGTCTTGAAGTCCAAAATCCTGAGCGGCCTTTCTTCGTAAGACAAATCTTCATCTAGCGGTATCACTTCTGGTGGTAAAACATGGGCTGGATCGTGAACATATCTCTTGAGCTGCGATACGTGGAACACGTTATGCACTCTATCCAACTCCAAAGGCAACGCCAAACGGTAAGCCAAACTCCCAATCCTCTCCAGGATTTCATACGGGCCTATAAACCTAGGGCTCAGCTTCCCTTTCTTCCCAAACCGCATTACTCCCCGGGTGGGAGATACTTTCAACCAAACCTTATCCCCAACCGAGAACTCCACCTGTCTTCTAGCCAAATCTGCATAAGACTTTTGACGATTCTGAGCCGCTTTCATCCTTTCCTGAATCTGTTTAACTTTCTCGGATGTGTCCAACAAGTATTGTGGTCCCAACACTATCGGATTGACAAGATCCTCCCAACAAAGCAGATTGCGACACTTCTGTCTATAGAGAGCTTCATAAGGTGCCATGCGAATACTCGAATGATAACTGCTGTTGTAAGAAAACTCGTTGAATTCCAAATGGTCCTCCCAAGACCCTTGAAAATCCAACATACTAGCCCTCAACATGTCCTCGATAGTCTGTATGGTCCTTTCTGTTTGTCCATCGGTGGCTGGGTGGAAAGCAGTACTGAGGCTTAGCTTAGTTCCAATAGCTGCTTGCAAGGATTTCCAAAATTGAGACAAGAACCTTGAATCCCTATCGGAGACAATATCCCTCGGAACTCCATGATACTTTACCACTTGGTTGACATAAGCTTGAGCCAACTGCGTCATTGTCCAGGTTTCTGTCATCGCGATAAGGCAAGCAGTCTTGGTCAAACGATCAACTATCACCCAGATTTTATCCTTACCCGAACGGGTGTCGGTAGTCCTCCCACGAAATCCATAGATATAGAATCCCACTTTCCTTGTGGAATTTCTAATGGTTGTACCAACCCCTTTACCTTACAACGCTCCGCTTTTACCTTCTGACAGTTAAGGCATTTCCCAACAAACTCTGCAACTTCCTTCTTCATATTAGGCCACCAAAAGAAGCCCTTCACGTCTTTGTATAACTTGTTTCCTCCAGGGTGAACCGAATAGGGTGTGTTATAGCCCTCTTCCAAAATCTGTCGCTTCCACTGATCACATGACGCGGGTATGCATACACGGCTTTTGTACCTCAACACCCCATCCATAGATAACTCAAACGGTCCCCCTTTTCCTTTAGCTAGGTCATCCCTTACCTTGGTCAAAATGCATCCTTTTGCTGCTCTTCCTTAATTTTCCCCAAAAATGTAGGTACAATCCTTAAGTTATAGCAACAAACTTCTGCCTCCACATCTCCCTGTTCCACCACTTCCAAGCTCATCCGTTGAAGCTCCTTACAAAGCTCATCCGCCACCACCCAAATAGAACTAGCGATAT